GGCATGCAGTATTATTCTGTTACAGACACAACTAGCGAGATAACCACACTCATTAATTCCAACAAGTTCAGCCGAACAACCACATTTATTCAAAAGTTACAGGCGATTGAGAATGAAACCAGCGTTAATCTTTTGTGCCTCAAAAATTTACACAAGCATATGTCCATGATTACCAGACATACGTTTCATTCAATTTTTAAAAATCAGGTGTAGGTTGATTCGGTCCATGCTTCCGCAGTTACATTGGAACCTTATCTAGAGAATGTCTCGCATCTTCGATTTCCTGTATTTTTTAAATACAGAAGTGAATATGTAAAGATAATTTTTTAAGCTTTAAAAAAAATAAAACCAACATAATTTCTGGCGTGGATCGAGAACACGAAGGGAAAGATTCTCCGCAAAGATGCGAATCAATCCTTGTCAGGGCCACAGAATTCCTCTTCGTCGACGATTCATGAGCAAGCAGGAGCTAGAAAATGCAGCTCCTTTCAGCTAACATCATTCTGTATTGGAACCCAATCTTCCAAGATGGGTACAGGACAGCTGTGGAATAATTTTATTTTACATATAAGGATTAATCTGAATATTATTTTAAACGGTTTTAATATAGATTCAAACGATGAGCACCTAATTTGTAAACGGTGGTTCATTCGCATGATTGACCTTCAAATTATGAATTTAATGATTTATCACCGAATAGTATAGAAATACTGTGTACACAGTTAGAGTTATATAATGGTCCAATTTCGTTATTTTGTGTCTCTTGAATGGTTTGAGATATCTCTCCGAAAACAAAAACTCTAATGAAGGAAATTCAATTTTCACTGGTGTTTCTCATGTACAATTTTTTCCACGGAAGTAAATCTGTCTTATTTAGGGTTACAAACCTGGGTATTTATTCTAATATACTCTTATATGAGCTTTGTGAAAGCATTGACTTCGATGGAATAACCCGCGATTTCTTTTTCCTGAGTTGGGATTTAAATTTTCTGAATTAAAATGCTTAAAGAGCGCAATCTCCATTCCCTTTTGTCAGTAGACAAAGTTATTAGAGAAATTATTCAGGGGACACCGATTATTTAAAAAAAATCCTGGTTCAACCTGCTACATATACGTATGATCAGCTGATGTTCCAAAATGTTTTTGCACGCCAAAAAAAGAAGCCTTCAAAGAAGTACCAATAATCCGACGAAGGAATGCATTGCTTTGAACACATAATCGTGAGAATGTAGCAAACATTTCACAAATTTTTCAAGCACCATGAAAAAAATGCGTTGTTATAATGAACATGTTAGAAATTCAACATTTTTGGTGAAAGAAATAGTAAAATGATCATATCATTCATTAACACAACTGGGGGAAACCCAAAAAATGTAAACTTGAACATAAAACACTCTGAGCTCTCCTACATCAAAGTTCATCAAGATTTGTTTACAAACGAAAAATTCCGTAATTTTTTCAAGTGACAAAAAAGTCGATCGTCATTGAGCTGTTTCGCCAAACTTCTGGGGCTACCGGTGCAAACATTTTTCTCACGAATGAATAATACAATACAATAAAATAGAATAGTAAACCTTTAAAAGTTTTCGCAAAAAACCTGACTCAGGCGAGTTCAGCAGAATTCTGATCCTCGACAATCCATCACATCTGCCAGAACTCAGCTCAGGGATGCACAACAAATCTCGAATAACTTCTCCGGTCTCCACATCATGTATTCTCGTCAGGCAGTTACTTTACTTCCATATACAGTACAGACACACGCAACCAAAATCCAAAATATTATTTTTACATGGAATACTAGCGACGAACACCATTTTTCAAACGCTCAAGGTCAGATGTCTCAATATTTCCCCGTATTAAAAAATAATCTGACTGGCCCCCCTGTACGGAATCTATAAAAATAAATGGCAGGAAAAATAACAACTACAGGAAGTCGAATGCTGTCTTTGCAAAGAAACAAATGGGGGGAGGGGAAGAAGAAAAATGGCAAGAATTTTCTGATTTGTCTTTTCCCCGGGGATTCACTTATCCCTATTTTCAATTTACTGTTATTTGTTTGGCGGCCCGCCTGGAGATGACTGGGATGAACTGGGGCCATCAATCTCTGTGGGTAATCCGTGTCACGCAGAGTTTCAGCATCGGTTGGAGATTAGCCCCATTTTTTCCTCCCCCAACCCGACGTACTTGTGTGACGGTCATTATGCCCTGGCCTCGGGCCAAATGGGGATCGTCCCCGTCTTTCATCCGCGCGGTTCCCAGCTGAGGTGATGAGTATATGAAGAGATGGCCGCGGATGTTGGTACAGTATATATGATCATTGAAACCTGAAGGAATTACTATAAATATCAAATACTGTACTTGGTTCCTCTTGATAAAAAAGCGACGTATTTCTGGTTTTTTTTTCTTCATCCAAAAGCTCATTAAAGGTTGATCAGAAAGTCGGAACTCATCTCCAGAAAATGGGTCTTCACCTCCCAATAAAAGAGTATTTTCTATAAAAATAAAAAAGATGTTCTGCCACAAAAAAGGTTACTTTTTCCGGGACTTCAAATATGTCGATCAGCCCAGGTTGTTTGTTCTCTTCGGTGCCAATTTTTGCAAATCGTATCCTGCCTCATCTGCTACTCCCATTGAAGTGTAAATATACAGCATCACGTTATAAAAAAAAATTAGATGAATTTTCATGATATACCCTTGTTCTAAGTCTTCTAACTCGAGGCCAAGAAAATTGAAGATTCTGAAATTTTAATTTCAGAGGATTGGATATATAGTATCGTAATCCAATAAAATGGCTTTGGTTAGTTTACAGTTGCTTTTTATTTTTGAACACCTCTGTTGGTGTAAACAAAATGTGCATGTAATAAGTTTAAAGCATGCCAAAAATTAAAGTCATGATTATTTCTCTGGAAATTCCTGAAAAACAAATGAATATTGAATTTGTTGGGATTTTAAACCATAATCTCAGTAATCAAGATTTTGTTGATGACTTCTCAGAAAAACTGAGAAAAGTTTCTGCAGATTTTAACCCTTGTGTGTAAAAACTGAATATTTTTGCAAAAATTTTTGCCTACTGGAAATTTAAAAATCCTACTTTTGCACCAATGCCAAAGTTGGGAAGAAGTCTAATATTTTGTTGATAATCATGGAAAAACTGTTGAATGAATGAATGAACTTTATTTGCTGCTTTTCAGCATTCACAAGGCACAACCAAGACTCCCGCATCCAAACCTCCTCCCCACCCAACCAAAATAGCCTCAAAGACATTCAATCACTTCAAAGCAGGATACAAAGCTCAAGTTGATGGCAAAAATAAAAGAGAACACAGTCCACAAAATAAAACTGGATATCAGACATGTATGCATACACCCACCCATTTCCTGACATTGAAAACAAAGTAGCTGTAAAAGTTTATTTAAAGCACAAGGTCTTCAGCTTGCTTCTGTATGAGGGTTAGTTGAATGAACAATTTAGAGAGAATCTTTGATGAAAAATCATATAAGGCCAACAGTTTATCTTGATCCTTTAAGATTTCAGAAAGTGTCTTAAATATACAGCATCACGTTATAAAAAAAAATTAGATGAATTTTCATGATATACCCTTGTTCTAAGTCTTCTAACTCGAGGCCAAGAAAATTGAAGATTCTGAAATTTTAATTTCAGAGGATTGGATAGTATTGTAATCCAATAAAATGGCTTTGGTTAGTTTACAGTTGCTTTTTATTTTTGAACACCTCTGTTGGTGTAAACAAAATGTGCATGTAATAAGTTTAAAGCATGCAAAAAATTAAAGTCATGATTATTTCTCTGGAAATTCCTGAAAAACAAATGAATATTGAATTTGTTGGGATTTTAAACCATAATCTCAGTAATCAAGATTTTGTTGATGACTTCTCAGAAAAACTGGGAAAAGTTGTTGCAGATTTTAACCCTTGTGAGGAAAAGACTGAATTTTTTTGCAAAAATGGTTGCAACTATGAGCAATGGAAATTTTAAAAAATCCTACTTTTGTACCAATGCCAAAGTTGGGAAAACGTCCAATATTTTGTTTATCATCATGGAAAAAATGTTGCCTCAAAAATAAAAAAAATAAATCCTCACTTGATGGCATTTTTTATGCATTCTCGGCAAAGGATGTGTTTGGGAGAATCCTGGGAACAATATAAAATTTGCCTCCCAGATTTTTCCCAACATAGGCCTTCTGAACCTGGGAGCAATTCAGTGACCTTGGGTCAAACTGAAATTTGCTTCTGGGGTTTTTAGGGTTGAGACGGTCTTTTACTTTTGTTTGGGAGGTTAAAAGTTCCCCAAGTCGCGGTGAAAAGACAAGAACCTTAAGTGTTATTCAAAATAATTTACTTATAATCTATCCATAATAAGTAAAGGAGAAGGTCATGATCCATATATTATTCGATTGGTCAGATTTTGTCTTGTGCAGCATTCGTGATTATGTTTCAAGTGTGTGAGAATGTGAGAAAAAATTCTAGCTTCAATTTTTCTCACATTTTCCTGCCATCCTCACATGATTTTATTCTCATTTTTGCTGCAATGTGTTCGTTTCGAATTATCCAAGCGTAATATTATGAGGTGATATTTTCGCAATGCTAGAACTTATAAAATATTTAGATTGCGAGAAACCCCTTCCAGAAAAAAAGAGGGAAATTGCAGCGGAAAAGATTCATTGGTCGCTATCTCCTGCGTCCACGCTTGGAAATTTCTTGCTTGGTTGAGTGCATAATATAAAGCACGTCATCCTATGACGTGATACATATAAATCCCATGATTCTCATGCATTTCCAAAAGTTCGAAGGAAATCAGGAAGAACGAACTTCTCACCAACTTTCCTGGTCATTCGTCGATTTCCCAATCATTCTTTTTTCTCCTTCCTGATTTCAGATCCACTCCTTTGATCCTGTTTGAGTTGAACAGTTATGAAGAAAGATGCAATTGGAATAAATGACAGCAGAATTTCGAAAACACCAATTTTTTTTATTCGATATCTTGCGAACAGTTCACTTCGTTGTCTGCAAGCATTCTTGGTGAAAGGAATCCGATTTTTCCATTGGGCTGAACACCACAGAGACACAAAAAGGAAACTCAGAAAAAATACCGCTTCCCGCAATAACCTTCCTTTTTCTCCTCCTTATTTTGATATACTTTTTTTTAGCAGGCGATACAATAAAAGAATGATCACATACAACATCGAGAACAATGATCAGCACATATTTCACATACGTGTCTCCAACATGGAAAAAGTACACTTATAATCGCTGTCTTTTTTGTGTTTGTATTTGTTTGACATGGGTTGAATGTTCCTAAAGAAAGCTACTTCATTGCTATTTTTTTTCTTGCAACAGAGTCGCACATTGAAACAATAAAGACATTAACTGCTACGTTTTAAAGTCTATATATGGATATATAGTCATACGAACTAGTGGAATACGTTTTCTCAGAGAGAACATCATTTACGAAAACGGCATCAGAATCATGCAAAATTGCGAACACAATGAAGAATGGCAGTATCTTGAGTTGGCATTATGCATATGACTTCTCAGTCATATTCACATTTAGTGAGCGATTTTGCACCACGTCCGCTGTGGACCAGGAGCGACACCTGGACGAGAGATCATAGCGCGTGGAAACGTTTCAAAACGTCGTGTTTTTTGGCTTTTTATTCCTCACAATTTCCACGCATTAGCCGTCATAAAACGCATCAACTTATTTGGGTGGGAGCATTTTTGACGAACCATCATATGTAATCCTTTTAATAATTTAAATGACATTTTAAAAACGCTTAGGATTTTCAAATTGAGTTCCGTATTTTTCTCAACCAGAATTAAAAATTAAGAGATTTCATAACCTCTTGAATAATTTGAATACGGGATTGAAAAGTTAATACGCATGTGTGCTCGTCAAATGCATTTGGATTTGGCGAGGAAAGGACTTTTGCCAGTTGAAAACGTGGAAATAAATTGAATTAAAAGTTCACGAAAATAGAGATTAGATTTACTGTAACTTATCGAGATTGGAATATTTTTCGGCTTTATCTATAATCTCTGTTCATCCGATTGATTTTTTTTTTCGATCAAGCAAAGTTTGACATGACCTGCATTTTTTTGCAAATTCTTCAGTTCCTCTTGAGCAGTCAGATTTTTCAGTTTCTTTTCTCAGCATAAAACGGATGCCTCTTTTTTTAACGCGTGGAAAATCGCAAAAAAGTATTTTAATTCCGGTTTTCGTTTCGTCCTTTTAAGTAAAAATAGTTTTTTGTTGGTGTTGCGGGATAAGATGACTAGACATTGTCGCCAGAGCATGTTTTGCCATTGACTGACGAGGAATACGACGATGAGACGACAATGGCAGCGTTGCCACCGGGGTGTAAAGCGAGCAGGCTTCGTTTCTCGCCATTTCTGCCACCTCCGTTGCAGCTAGTTGATGAGATCTTCCGTTTGTTGGCAAAGGACGATGTTTCGTTGTCCTCTTCGTCTTCCGATCCAGGCTGTAAACACAAATTTTAAACATTTAAATTAAAATCAAGCTTTATATGGCTGAAGTTTTATAGCATCTTCGTCATAGTAGTACCCGGAGTTTTTGTTGGACGTCAACTACAGACCGCCTTTACTTTATAAAATTACTTGTAGGACGTAAGTTAGCTTATACTTTAGAACTTCTTTTCTTGTTTCATCCTAAGTTGAAAAAGAACTCCCCGAAATCAAGACCCATTTTGATTTTATTCACTTCCTGCCGAATTAATTTATTAAATCATTGGTCTGAAGTATTATAGGAGAAAAGCCAAAATATATTTTTCGTGAGATAATTTCAACTATAGTACCATTGTCTTGTCAAAATTTGAGATAAAGATACTAGCTGTAACATCCTTCATTGCTAATTTTGAGAAATGCATTAGCCTGGAGAAATTTCCCGCGGACTGTTGGAACACTGTTCTACAGTATATCAATCAATCTTGGCTGAAAGTATGGACGACCAGCGAGAGGCGATCGGTGAGTAATCCATGCATAAAAAGCAAACAGGAAAAATATGAAATAGGATGTGAATAAATACCCCGGAAGTGACGGTGAAGTGAACAGCACCCAGGGGATCCTCGGCCACGTCGGGCAAAGGCGTGCGCGTAGGACTGCGGCTGGGAGCACGAGATAACACTCGACCCGNTGAATCCTCGAGCTTGTTTGTTGTTTCCCCCGAAGCCGTTGTTGTTGTTGTTGTTCAAATTGGCTCGCCGTTTCTGGGCTACACTCATTGTTGCACAAGCGAGTTTCCCGGTTTCCCGAGCCAGCATGGAAACCCCCGATGGCAACGACATCTGTCGAATCACGTCAATTCAGAGCATTGGATAAACAGGACTGTACTTCGGAAAATATAGCATCATTCATTGAAATTATCGAGGAATTTACTTTATTTCAATGAGGTAGGGTGTTAAGGAACGTCGAGTTTGTTGTTTGACAAATAAAATGAAACCTTACATTTTATTGAATTTTCGATCTTCATTTTCTGCAGAAAATTTGCGTGCTGGGGGACATGGGTAAATAGGATGCAAACCACATGATGAAGCACAGTAGTGCATGAATTTGAGTTTAAAATTGAGACGTTTTCTCCTCAGTATCTCATATAAAAAAAACTATATTTCCGGCACAATTTAAATGATCCAAACGTTTCGCATTTTTGAACTTATGACGCAGTAAAAAATGAAAATCCCTTCATGAGCTGTTCCTTGAAGTAGAAATTCATTCTTTCCTAACTTCTAAACTTCTGAAACCTTCAAAAGACAGTCAAATTGTTCAAACAACTTCAAAAAAATCAACTCATCAAGCCAAGTTTCTATCAAGTTTCTATAAGTAACATAGAAACTTCGCAGTGAAATCAGAAGTAATTAACCAAACAAATGAGCTTTTTTAGTGGACTTGAATTACATATGGAAAATGAATTCTAGAAAATTCTCCAGTGAGAAACTTTCCGTGAAATTTTTCAAAATTTTCGGAAAAAATATTGCATGCAAGAACCATGATTACAGAAAAATTATAAAAGAGAAAGAAATTGAATGCAATGGGATTCGTACTTAATTTGAGAATAAACTAATTATCTCAGCTGTTGTAATTATTGCATTATAAATCTTTTTCCGTTGAAATCTCCAGTTCCTGTCTTATGATTAGTGGTTGTGCATAATTTATACAGCTTTAAAAAATTAAAATTTCCGTCTCATGCCAGCGAATGTGGTGCTATTTTAGAAGGGATGATGAATCGTTACACATTCTGATGAAAAAAAAAATTTCGTCAGATGTCAATTCAACGGATTTTTAGCCCATGGCAGCAACACATCATTCCATATTGAAATCAGGCCAAAATACAACGCCAAAAGAAAAGTTCTACAGACCTGTTGTTTTTCCAGTAGCTCCAAAGGACCATCCACACCATAACTCTCACTTCGCCTCAACCCAGACGACGCCCTACTGCCAAACGTCAGCGTCGTCGTGGTCCTCCTCGACGACGACGTGGACGTCCTCGGGCGTCGAAACCCACTCCCAAATCCACCATATCCCCCAGAATAGTCCGCATTCCCAGACCCATATCCACCTCCTCCTCCACCGGCGCCACCTCCTCCACCACCACCACCACCGCCGCCGCCGCTGCCACTGCCTCCACCGACGCCCAGAACCCGCAAAAACGCGCCCCGGAACTTGGACGACATGACATTGTAGAGTATGGGATTGACGGCGGAATTGAGATACAGCATGACTCGGCAGAACCAGAGCACGGCGTGGAATGCTTCGAGTCCCATGCCGTCAGTTATGTCTGCCGCCGTGGCAATGGCGATGTACCAAAACGTGAACACTCGCATGGGCAGGAGACACACGAAGAAGACCACGATGACGGTGGCGAGCATGGCGACGACTTGGCGCCTGCTTCGCATGTGGGCAGAGGAAGTGGCCTGGTCTTTGCCGGTGCCGTTGGCCGGCAAGTGGCGTCCGGGGATGCCGCCACTGCCGCTCGTGCCGCCAGAGGCATACGGGTGGCGCAGGAGGTGGCGAGCAATGGCGATGTAGATGACCACGAGGACGCCGAGGGGCGCCAGGAAGAAGACGAGCATGCAGAAAAAGTGGAACACTTTGTCCCAGGCGCCTTCGACGGATGTTATGCACACGGGTTTCTCAGTGCCGTCCATGAAGTCTTCCATTTTGTACGAAGACATGACGAGGATTGGACTGAAATATTGACAAAAATGGGGCAAAAAAATATGTCGAATTAGGATTTATAATTCAATGGGAAATTACGAGGGGGCGAAAATACAGCAGTGAGACCCAAAGACGCAGACCTAATTGGTTCATCAAGAGTGTCCCCAAGTCGAAATGTCCCTAAGTTGAGTCTTATTTTCCAATAGACTTACATATATAATTTTTAATTTGTGTTTTATGGAAGAAATATTCTTCAGAATTCCATGAAAAAAATTGTTTGCCACTTGAATTTGAATTAGTGAATATATTTTCAACTCAATAAGAACAATTGGAGCATTGAATAGTGTATCTCTGTACTGTACACTGACATTTTGGCATCTACAAGAATAACATTCAGGTGAAAAAAGTAGAAGTCCCTCTATGCTGGAGATAATTTTTCAAATTAGCTGAATGGATGGTAATTTGGTGAGAGAAATACCCGAACATTTTGTAAACATCAATTTTAGGGTTGAAAATATCTGTTTCTTGTAATATGGCCTGAAAGGTATTTGCAATTTTATCACAAAATGTCCCTAAGTTGGGTCAGTGTCCTCATGCTGGGCCTCATTTATTGATTTTTTCTGGGAAAACAAGTGTCCCTATGTCAAATTGTCCACGGGTCAAGATGTCCGCATGTGGGGGTCTCACTGTATCTGACATAAGCCAGTCAAATTATTGAAACAACTTCAAAAAATCAACTCATCAAGCCCCCAATGAGTAACATATAAACTTCGCAGTGGAAACATAATAAATTAACCAAACAAATGAGCTGATTTAGTGGACTTGAATTACATATGAAAAATGAAATCTATAAATTTTCCTGTGAGAAATTTTTTCAAAATTTTCGGAAGAAATATTGCTTGCTAGAACCATAATTACAGAAAAATTATAAAAGAGAAATTTTCGGTCAAGTGCTGAAAATTTTTGAAATCGATGAAACAGAGTTTCAGCAATTTCAAATTTTTGCTTTTACTCTCATCATAGCTCCATCATTTGGCAGCTCTTTGTTGCTGTTCAACGCAGTCTCCGCCAATTTAATTGCATTTTTTCATGCAATATTTCCAATGATCAAAACAGTACCAAAACTTGAGAATTGCGTCATTGGATGAAAAATGCATTGCATTTGGCGAAGACTGCATTGCACAGCAACGAAGTGTTGCCAAATGATGGGGCTATGCAAGTAAAAGCAAACATTTGGAATTTTTAAAATTCTTTGTTGGATCTATTTCAAAAGTTTCCAAAACTTATGAACCATCCCTCATATATGCATAAACTTTAAAAATATTTTCAACAGGCAGGTGCGAGAATGTTAGAAAATTAATCAACATGGTTGCCTTGTCCTAATTTTTTCTCTGCTATTCAGAAAACATTGTGCAAATTATTTTTTGCATTTTTTCTAATAAGTCGGCCTCAAAAAGCTAATTTGCATGTTTGCTTGTTTCTTTGAACTTGAAATGTTCTTTGTGGGCGTTGGAAAATCATTCAGACCAAAATCAAGCACAAACTAAAAATTTGGATATAGGAAAAAATCACGAAATGGAGATGAGCATTATTACTGCATCAAATTAAGTCGCAATGTCTTTTGGGGTTTAAACGCAAATGGATGAAAATACGAGTAATGCCCTAATTTTACACACAAAAAACTCATCACCTAAACAAGTGAGACCAAAATGAAAATATTATTCGAAAATGGAGAGAATTATTCAATGTTTCTTGAAGCACGTCTGCTGTGGGCATTTGAGTTAATAATCTGCAAATTTTCAGTTTTATTCTTCAGTAAATAGAATTTCTTTCGGAATTTCTGAAACAAAATTCTCATCGAATCTCAAAGTTTTATTCATGCTACATTTTGAAACATGAATAAAGTGCTGTTATCTACTTCTGCACGCTTGACCAACAACTCGTGAATAGGGCTTTCTTTTTATTGCCGGTCAGTTTTAGAGTGGCTCTGTATATATAGAAAATAGACCGTGTCCTACTTTGTTATTTTTTTTATAGCCAGGAAAAAAAATGCAGGTGTGTGCTGCGATACAGAGAAATTATTGCATGTACTATGTGCTGGTTGCGTGTGTGGTTTTGAGAGCAATTCTCTTTGCAGGTATATAGGCATGAATCTTGCAGGTCTACTTTTATCCTGGAAAAGGTCAGAGGCTCTGCCACAGGTTTCCAGTTTGACCTAAACTCGCAAATGGACCAGCCTGTCACTTTCCTCCTTGTTTCCTTGTTCGTTTTTGAATTATTCTTGCTTTCCCCAATAAGGGAACTTCGTGCGTCTGGAAAAATTGACCACTCGTCCTTGACGAACACTTGTTATTGTGAGTTTCATATATGTATCAGGGAGTTGCTGGTCGAAATTCATACGCATATTTCGCAGAAAAATTGATGGAAATTCTACATTGCGCATTTTTTTTAAACTAGCGTTTTGAAACTCGAAATTACGGAAGTTAATTTAAAATAATTTAGGGAATTAAGTTTCATTAAAGCCAGTGGTTTATGCTTCAAATGCACGATGTAGTCTATAGCGTCCCAATATTTTATCAAGAAGGAAATTTGATTGTGAAGATTTCCAACTCATTCTTAGGGAAAAAGGGAAAATATTTGATTATAATACGAAGTTTTTTTAATGAATAATTGCCTCTAATTCCTTCAGAATTCGTTGCGTGAAGCAGAGACGACGAGAGACCGAACCGTCTCTTGAAATGTAACAATTTGAAAATTTTAAGAAAGCATGAAAGCAAACGAATGCAAAGTTGCTCCCGATTTTTTTCCCTGTGCCACTTCTGAGGATTTATCAAATGTCAAAGGAATTCTGCACCATCTAAGCAGTAAATAATTTCACCTTGGACTCAAAAGTGGGATCCTATAACTTGAAAAAAGCTTTTTTTCTGCACTTCGACAAGATAAAGTGGGGAAACATTTGAAAATGTACAGTTCAACAAAGAACTTGAATGAAAATCAAATTCATGAAAAGTTTCGGAATATAATATCCTTCAAATATCATCTTCTGATGGGAGATTTCTCAGAAATTCCAGGATTAGTGTAAGTAAAACCTGTTCGGGGTTTTTCAAATTTTATTCTTTTTTTTACCTATTTCTCTCTCATACAGTACTGACAAAAATATATTTCCGAATTATTTAATCCGATTAACTAGAATACGTACGAAACATTCAAATACAGTATTTAAATTTCAGAAATTGGTGAGTTGTGATACATATTGGGCAGTTCTGCTTTTTTTATTTAAATATCTGTTAGTCAGACACTCGTTTTATGTTGCCTTATTTGAATTCAAATGAATATACTGGCAATCTTTTTGTTGGAGACACTTCGAATCTCTCTGCTAAAAAGCATAAAATATCTGCATTCACTCGTCGTTTTACTTTTTTTAGTGGTGTCAACAGCACTAAAAAAACCTGCTGATCTTCAGTCACATTTGTTCATTCTACTGTGAAAAAAGTTTGCTATGTTTTGTTGAACACTTTGCCTTACTGAAAAATTGACTGCAGATTTTTTGGTGTTGCGGAAATAATCCAGCTTTCAATTCCCTCAGTTTGAATTCCGTCGCTTTGCTCTGAATACAAAATTTCAGATAAAATTTTGAAAAATCCCCGGGGTATTTCTAGAGCCAGACGGCCATGGCATTTGAGATTCAATTCATACTCTTGATGCACTGCTGCTTTGAAACATTACCCACCTCTGCCGGGTTCACTTTTTTCTCTCGGGTAAAACCTATATACGCTGTATTTTCCGGAAATGTGTCAGGTCCCCAGAGCAGACTTGCAAAGCAGGGTTCCAGATCCACATTCCTCAGAAATGCTCGCGTCATTCAACCAGGACCCAAGGTTTTTCAGGTTTTCAGTACCCAGACCCGAAATAGAATTTGCGAACGAAACGGAAGCGGATCAATTATATTTCGACCTTGTTTTTGCCTCCCTGAGGGATCCGAGTCCCCGGGCTATATTTTCAAAAATGCGTCAGGGATCGCAGTTGATGGAATAAGTATTTTTCGAAGAGGGGGTTCAGGTGACAATTCCAAGAATTTGGTTACTGGAAGAAAAATAAATGATAATGCTATCCTCCTAAACCCGATAATTTACACAAATCCACACTACGTGGAATTTTTTATTGTCTTTGGTCACAGGATGCATCGCAGATTATAAAAAGTGCTTTGAATTTCAAATCACATAGATTTTTAATGCCATGAATTCCACAGTGAGTTCAGATTCATGATAATATGGTGTTGTCTTAAAATGGCATGAGCAAATGAAATCTTTGATCTTCACTCACTATAACCAGAACAATTTTATTTTTTTCATAGACAAAATGTTCAACCAAATTAAAAGACTTGTTGTTCTCAAAGGTTTAAATCATTTTCTGTGTGTTTTCCAAGAGTACAAAAATACTTCAAGAAGATATTTGACAAATATGTTATATTATACTTTTCACAAAGACATATTATTGTATTGTGCATCTCAGACAAGGTTTTGTGGCAAATAAGTCTGGTGATAAAAGCTTGATTTTCTGGGAGAGGAATAATCCAGATTTTTTCAAAGCTTAAAATGTTAAATATATAATAGTTATACAAAACACTCCCTGCACTAAGGTTTTTCTTCAGACAACTTTTTCTGTGCTGAAAGAAGAGAAATCATACTTTTCCTGCC